GACCACCTCTTCAAACCTGGTTGCCTAGCCCTTCCTTACTTGACACATAGACTATGATTTGGCCAATCTAAAACCACTTTGTATTTCCCTAAAAAGAGCCTTCAGTATTGGTTTTTAAAAAAATCTGTCCTGCTTCTTGCTTATGTACTTAATAGGGCAGAGAAGGATGAAGAATATCTTCATAAAGGGTGCATGTGAGGTGAGCTTTGAATAATGGTGTGACGAGGGAGGGAGAGGCAGAAGTAGGATGGTAGAACCAGAGGCTCCGAGCAGATCTAGGAAGACAAAAGAGGCTGGGGGAGGAGGCCACTTGCTAGGGGCCCTTGAGCCTGGACACATAGGCTAGAGTTAAGGGAGGATGAGACTCCAGTTTTGGTTCTGAGAGTGTGACTTTGTTTTCCATGACTCAATTCAGGTAATGAAGAGTCTCTACAGTTGTGATAGATTTAGTATTATTCATTTGAAGCAGTATAAAGATTTACTCTCTGCCTTGTACCAAGGGTCAGAGATTCCATGATAAAGAAGAATTAAAAGTTCAATCTGCAGCTCCTGGGAAAGACAGAGATGAATCAGAGATTCCATGATAAAGAAGAATTAAAAGTTCAATCTGCAGCCCCTGGGAAAGACAGAGATGAAATTACACTCAGGGGAGGACATGCTAAGCTCCATTCACAATGCCTGAGTTAAAAGAAGTCTCTATTTTGATTAACATTCTTGATCACCTTCTTATCCCTTTCAGCAATTCCAGACTGTGGTGGTTACCTGAACACTTTTGAAGGATCCTTTACTAGTCCCAATTATCCACAGTCACATCCTGCGCTGGCTTATTGTGTGTGGCACATACAAGTGGAAAAAGGCTACAAGATAAGATTAGACTTCAAAGAGATCTTGTAAGTACTGGGGAGCAAATGCGGTGAAGCCACCTGCCAACTGAGGGGCTCAGGGAAGAGAAGCAATCACTTAAGCCCCTATATGTGAGAACTTTTCAAGGACTTGACATAGAAAGGGAGTTACTCAGCAATACTATGGTATTGAACTGGTTGACTATTTTTCCAAAGATTCTGAGGTCCCATGATCAGGTGACCAAATTCCAGATTTGTCATCATAAACCTGAGATGCCATTATAAGGAAAATCCTGAATCTTTTAAGAATGGGGTGATAGGCAGAACATTTGAATAGTTGAAAAGCGTTTTCACCATGGACTCTTAGCCTAGAAACAGATGACCACTGCAGATTTGACTTTGTTGCTGTCTATGATGGCTCCTCCACCAAGGCCGGCCTGATGGGACAAGTCTGTGGCCGCGTGACGCCCTCCTTTGAATCTTCTGCAGACTCCTTGTCTGTTGTGTTAGCTACCGATTATGCCAATTCTTACAGGGGCTTTTCTGCATCCTACACTTCCATTTATGCAGAAAACATCAATACTAGTAAGTTACATTTTATATTTCTTGGCTGTTTTGAGTTCTGTACGTAGAAACTGCTCCTTAATTCCTAGCCTATTTGTGGTTAACGCTACATGTCAGCTTATTCAATATACTTAGAAATGTAGTGATAACCCAAGGCTTGACAATCATTTCCTTACATTCCTTAGTATAAGAAGAAACAAACTCTTTTATCCACCCAAAAAAGATTTCTGTAAAAAATAGGGACTGGTTCTCTCAATACCTTCTGAAAAGATGAACATATTAGATTCACACATTCTACTCTCAAAGAAGGCGACAATGAACACTGTAAAAAGTGCATCAATTTCTTAACTGTCTCAGACTTCAAACTACCACTGAGGGGCACATGGAATTTTGGCTGTCCATAGATTCACCTGTGCGGGAAGACTTTGAGGTCCAGAGTTCCCCACCAGCACAAACACGAGATCATCCTTTTCTTCCTTTGTTTTCCTGACAGTGTCTTTCATTTGTGACTCCGACAAGATGAGAGTTATCATAAGCCAATCCCATCTAGAGTCATTTAACTATAATGAGGATAACTTACAACTAAATGACCCAACTTGCATACCAAGAGTGTCAAATGTTGTGGAATTTGCTATCCCTCTGGATGAATGCGGTACAGTCAAAAAGGTAAAGTGAAACCCTGACATCCAGGCTCTACCAAATACCAAATGCATGCTGCTAATGCAGTGGGCATAATGACAAACCATGTTCAGCTCTTAGCAGCTGAACATATCGTGAACATGTGTAGACATACAAGTGCTCACAGTCATTCATACATAATTGCAGAACTGTTTAATCCATTGTCAGGATAACTGGAGGGTGGTTATTTGTTTGTTTTTCCCAGAAGGTAAGGATCTCTGAAAATGCACAAGAGAGGGTTTGAACATCTCTGTGCTGTGGAACTCTTGTGCAGAAAACGTTTACATCTTATATTTTAGTAAAAATTGAGCTGAATTTTTAAAGATCTTCCCTTGTAAAGAGAGTTGGTAAAAACATTATCCTTTAAATGTGAAAAATTTTATTGTAAGTCTGTGATTTGTTCTACATGTTTTAGAACTTGGATTCAAGATTTCAGGCGATTTTCAATCTGCAAGTCCCTTTAGGATGTACGCTGTAATCTTTTCACTCAGGAGGCTAAGCAACAATCTAATTAAGAAGAATGAAGGCGTTACAAGAGGAATTGATCAGGACAGAAGTAAAGTTTTTTGTGCATGTGCCAAAATGAACACAGGTTTTACTATACTTGGAAGCCAGTTGAGGGAACCTGACAGAGTTCCTGTCTATGCATATTTGGAAAACTGCCTGATCAGCTACAGTTAGTGCTTTTTACGGAAAGAATATGCTATAGGGTTTAAAGTTTTTGTTTTGTTTTGTTTTTGGTACCGGGGATTGAACTTGGGTCCTTGCACTTGCAAGGCAGGCCACTGACCCGCTGAGCTAAATCCCCGGCCAAGGGTTTAAAGTTTTTATAGGGCTGGAAGTTTGCATTCAAGATCTATTTTTATATCACTGAAAAACTTCAGTACAATTCTATCTCCAAGCTGTACCTCTCAACTCACACTTTCCTTTATTTGTTCATGTCCCAGAATATGCCTTCGATAAAATGTTGAAGGCATATAGTATTCTGACATAAAAGCTGTTATCTGGTGGTTTAAGAAAATTATGTATCTGCAAGGGTTATTCACATGCATGTGCTAAAATATTACTGGACTAAAATATGAAATTTGAATTCTATCTTGCCCTGCAGGTAGAAGACCATTCAATTACTTACACCAACGTAATCACCTTTATTGCATCTCCAACTTCTGCAGTGATCACCCGTCAGAAACATCTCCAGATTGTTGTGAAGTGTGAAATGGAATATAACTCTACCATGGAGACAATGTACATAACAGAAGATGATGTAATACAAAATCAAAATGTGCTGGGCAAATACAACACAAGCATGGCTCTTTTCGAGTGTGATTCATTTGAAAACCCTATATCGAGTCACCATATTATGTGGATTTGAATCAAACTCTTTTTGTTCAAGTCAGCCTGCATACCTCAGACCCAGACTTAGTGGTGTTTCTTGATGCCTGTGTAGCCTCTCCCACATCTGACTTTGCTTCTCCAACCTACGACTTAATCAAGAGTGGGTATGTATCAAAGCAGTTGATGCCTGATATTCCTTCCCGGGAGTAATAATGATTTTGAATAAAATACTATTTTTCTGCATATATATAATATTTCCTAGTGCTACTGTCATATAATTTAATTAAATTTATCTTCATCATTTTAGGAAATGATGTACATATGTCACAAAATTTTAAGGTAAAACATATATATATATATACACACAGAGTGTGACATAGGAAGAAAATAGCTAAAGGGAATTGGGAAGAGGAGGGGAAAACAAATAAGGGAAAAGAAAAAAATGAAAAAATGGAAACAAAGTCTTTGTAAATAGGGAAGGGTGGAGAGGGTGAGGGGAGGGCAGGGGTATGGGGAAAAAACAACAACCAAATCATATCATGTACAGGTACAAGATCCCAATGATAAATGTAAGTGTACTGTTTGCTTTAAATGTAGCAATAAACATAATGAATAAAAATCTACATAGACACAGCCCACATGTAGAATTTTAAGGGTATTTACAAAATATTAAGACAAATTTACTTTTTGTCAAGAGGGTTCTATTTATGTTTTTGACTTTGTTTTTTTTTTTTTGTTTGTTTTGGTACTAGGTAGGGATCAAACTCAGGACCTTGTTCTCGCCAGGCAGGCACTGTGCTGCTGAGCTACATTCCTGGACTCTATTTCTGTTATTTTTAACCAAAATCTGGGAGATTACTTAATGTGTGTCATCTTTAGAACATAAATAATATCATCAGGAAAATATATGTAGCATTCTTACATATATAAAATTATAAAATTTTTCTTTGAAAGGGAAATTTTTCCTTTTCTCTCCTAGAAGCTGTTAGATTTTACTAAACTATGCTTGCATTAATAAAAAACATATGAGATTATTTGACTCTCCACATACAGGTGTTCACATGGACAAGGATCTTAAAGCTAGAAGAAACCTTACTCTGTTACCCAGGAGTCAAATCTATAGTTTTAGCTCACAGTAGGGTAAGCCACAGAGGTTGTCTTTCCTGAGAAACTTCGGGGTTCACAAATTAGACAGTTTATTGAAAACTTTGTATCGTCTCTTCCTAGGATGGGAAAGACAAACCACTGTGTATCTTCTGAATGTTTTCATAAATTCTGTTCCAGATGTAGTCGAGATGAGACTTGTAAGGTGCCTCCCTCATTTGGACACTATGGAAGATTCCAATTTAATACCTTTAAATTCTTGAGAAGTCTGAATTCTGCGTATCTGCAGTGTAAGATTTTGATATGTGATAGCAGTGACCACCAGTCTCGCTGTAGGCAAGGCTGTGTCACTAGAAGGAAACGAGATATTTCTTCATACAAGTGGAAGACTGATTCTATCATAGGACCCATTCGTCTGAAAAGGGATCGCAGCACAAATGGAAATTCGGGTAAGAAAAAAAAGATATTTCATGATCTAACAACACTACCTGGTTTATAAAATGTTGCTCAAATTGATTTGTTTTTAAGATGTACACTTCAGAGATTTGTAATAAAACTTTTAGAAATAAGTGGTGATTTTTAAGCACATAGGAAAAATATTTGTTTTCATTGGTTGATAATACTGGGTACAGTGTAAAACATAGGATGCACAGATGATACAAGCAATGTCCTCATTTCTAAAAACAACTTTCCTTTAGCTTCCTATTTGATGTAGATACCACAGTTAATAACTAAATCAGAAGCAATGTATTTTAACCTCTGAATAAAACAAAAAAGCCAGCATCTATACAATAGTTTATTTGAAAATCACTTTTTGTTGTTGTTTTTTGTTTCCTTTTGTTGCTGGGTTTTTGTTTGTTTGTTTGTTTTGTTTTTGGTACTGAGGATTGAATCCAGTGCCTTTACATGGAGCTACATTCCCAGCTCTTTTAAAATTTTGAAGCAGGGCCTCACTAAGTCACAAGGTGCTCAGGATGGGCTTGAGCTTGTATTCTTCCTACCTCAGCCTTCCATGCTGCTAGGATTACATGTTTGTGCCACGTACCCACATCCCACTAAAGTTTTTGTTGTGGTTTGTTTTGATTGTTTTCTGAGAAAAGGTCTCACTTTGTAGTATAGGCTGCTTTGAACTCAGATTGTAACCCAGGCTGGCCTAGAACTCAAAACAATCCTCCTGCCTCTGTCTCCCAGGTGCTGGGATTACAGGTGTTAAAGTTATTTTTTCAAAACAGAGAATCTACTCTATCGACACAGAACATCCCATTTCCTTTTTAAAGGCTTGAAACCTGAGGCCTGCTAGGTTATATGGGAAAGAGGTTATGATGATTACTCAAGGATAATCCATAATTAAACGGTTTATGATAAGCCAATGAAATAAAAAGGCCTTTGAAGAATTTATCTTAGGTGTGATTGTGGCATTAAAGAATCCTATAATGCATCTCTTATTTATTACTAGTAGTATGGATTATAAAGGAGTGATTCTGGTTTGCAGCAAAACATTTCTTTGGCAAAAATAACAGAACACCAACAAAAATTAAATTCAGTAACTTTAATAAACATTCACTGTTAATAAAAGGCATTCACAGTGAATTTATGGTAGTAAAGCATTTGTTGTATAGTACATAGCAAGCATAGTTTCTACAGAAATTTGAAATTAGTTGAGAATTTGTGAATCAAAGTCATGGAAATGTCCTATATATTAGATAATTATCCTTTTCTTGTTTCAAGGGAATAAATAAAAGTGTTTCTCATTAGCTAAAAGTATTTTTGACAACTATGAAAAAGAGCGGCCATTGATAAATGAATGTGGGCCTGCCTTACAAGTTCAAGGACTCAAGTTCAATCCCTGGTACCAAAAAAAAAAAAAGAAAAAAGAAAAAAAAGAATCTGCATTTCCATTTGATTATTATGCTTGCATATCACATTTTTGTGTTATATCAAGGAACACAAGTTAATAAAATATTTGATAGTGGCTCCTCAATATGGTTTTAGAGTCATGTATGAATTCATGCATAGGATTCAAAGGGTGTGTAGAGATGTTATTAATGTTACCAACATTTTGTAATGCTAACAGATATTTAAAAATATGTTTTCAATTACAGGACTTCTTCATCAGAAACCTGCAGAAGAAACTTGGAGCCAGCCTTTCAACAGTCTACATCTATTTTTATTCATGGTCCTTGCACTGAATGTAGTGATTGTGGCCACAGTCACAGTGAGGCATTTTGTAAACCAATGGACAGACTACAAATACCAGAGGCTGCAGAACTATTAACTAACTGACTTAGGCCTAAGCAGGACACATTTCTCCCAGATGCTGAAAGAAAAGAAACGGTACCTCGTGGCTACCCAGGATAAGAATAAAGTAGGAAGGCCCGGAAAAATGATATAAGCAGACTTTTATGTCACTGTGTCAGTGTATTTCATTAAAAGATGACTGACTTGGACAAATATTATGTCTATTAACTCTTATTTTAGGAACTGAAGTCATTACATGAGTTACAAGCATCTCTTTTCATAAACACGAAACATCTTAACCAAACACCAGATGAACACCAAAAGGTTCTTTTTGCTTAAGAAAAGTAGTCTTCAAAGTTCGATGCTTTTATTTTCAAGTGCTAAACAATGCAAAAAATAAATGGCAAATATGCTACCTTAGTAACGTCTGAAGTTATAATATCTTTATCTAAAATGTAAAAGAGGGTAGTGCAGTTGCTTTGCTGCCCATGTTTCACTGCCAAAATGCACTCTAAGTGTTTATCATCTTAAGCAGCTTGGAAAAAGAGAAGTACCTGACTACAAAATGAGAGACCTCGTACAGATTTTAGATTAGTGAAATAAAAACATTTTCCTCCTACGTATTATCAAATATCAAAGTCAAAGTTTAATCATACTGGCAAGGAGTAACCAGTTGTGATTTACAAGTTCCTGTCTATAGTAGGTGAACAAATATTAAAATGTTGAAGCTCATTATATTAGATGAATAATACAAGGCTTCCTCATCACCTAGCAACACACACAGTTTCAGGTTCTAGTCTAAATCCAAATGGGTAACCACATTCCTGAATACCCAAAGACATGCTCTTTACATCTCTAAACATGTATCACACACATAGGTTGCTGGAGGGATTACAATGGACATGACAGAAACTACTCTCCCAGAACAAGTCCTCAAGGGTCTGAGGATTTTCCAGCTTCAAATCAAACCAAATTTTCTCCATTTTAAAAATATCTCCATGTAGATTTTCTAAACACTTTTCCAAGTAGCCATGCAGTGACTGTCCTATATGTTCATCCATATAATTTAAATTGAACTATTGTAAGCTTCTTTTTTAACCTAACAAGTGAAAAACACCTGAAATTTAATTCGAACGGGCAAATAACATTAAATATTTTAAACAGCACAAAAGCCTAGTTTGGTGGCTGTACTTCAGCTGTCTCTCCATCTGCAAATGACTAGTTATTCTCTGGCCAATAGAGCTTGCCAATAGGGTAGGTAGGCAAAAGGCAAATCCTATTGTAAGCTTCTTTTTTAACCTAACAAGTGAAAAACACCTGAAATTTAATTCGAACGGGCAAATAACATTAAATATTTTAAACAGCACAAAAGCCTAGTTTGGTGGCTGTACTTCAGCTGTCTCTCCATCTGCAAATGACTAGTTATTCTCTGGCCAATAGAGCTTGCCAATAGGGTAGGTAGGCAAAAGGCAAATCCGACATGAAAGTGTAATTAAGAAAATTATTTAAATATTGTGACTCACTAGAGTAGAAAGTTGTATTACCATGAGCCCCCAAATCCTTTATAATGGCAATATCGAGCTATACCAATTCATTGTCAGTTTGTACTCACACGATTTTAAAAATATTTTTCTTCTTTAGGAGGAACTATAGTGAAACCCCGGATCTGGCCTTGGTGTCCTGGCCTGCAGGTCTTCCACTTACCAGTTGGGTGTGCTGTGCAGTTCTCGTTCAACCTTGATCTCCACATTAAAATAGGGATGGCAGTAGTTACCACCCCGTCCTCCTGGTTGTGGTGGGGACCAAAAGAGAGAATATCTGAGCAGCTGGGGCACTCATGTTCCATTCCCCATCACTGAAGAATTCTCAGTACCTGTGCTTTAAAACTTGCTTCCTTGGGCCACAGTAGTCTCGACTGCCATGGTGGGGATTTAGGAAAATATACCCTGACCCAGAGGTTTCCTGGGAAGGTGCTCAGGGTCACCCCTGTGAGGGATGAGGGAGGCAGGACTGGGAGCTGACAACTTACGAAGCAGTTGGAGTAAAAGGGCCTATTCCCTGGGGAGTCCTGGGGACAGGTTGGCCCTTCAGGTATCCCACTGAGGCCCAGTGCTCAGACTTTATATACCTTTGTTAGCTCAAGTTATGGCTGTAAACTTGGACAAGACAGATGTTTTGAGTTGAGGGAAATTCAGGGGGAGCAGTGGCACTGAGAACCATCAGCCATCAATGTTCCCTAGCAGCCTGGAGAATGGACGACAGACTGAGGTGGCATCTGGGTGTCACTCCTGAGGAGCCACTGCACTCATTTCCTAAAACAGCTAATACAGCTTACTATAAACATGATTTCAGAATGTCTCACAAGGCAAATCTACCTCTACACTATAGTCAAGAGACTTCATTAAGGTATTTCAGAAAGGCTAAAAGCAAGGGATGGGCAATAGAACACCAGGCTCATGCAAACTAGAGGGACCAGGGATTGGAAGGGTTGGAATCCAGGCTATGCACTTGGCTTATGTTGCCCTGAGGGGTGGGGTAACCCTACTACTGTTAAGTAGGAGGGAAAGATCTAGCTCTACTCCCTTATCCCCATCCTAAGCCAGATCTCACCAGCACAGGATGAAACATGCTCCTCTTCCCTTCCCCATAGGAGTGGAGAAAAGTCCTGTCTTCCCACCTGGTCTGTGCCTGATAGGGGCTGTTCAGCTGAGAGTTCCACCACTGTCTGCAGGTAGTGTGCATCCACATCCCCACTTTGCCTTTTGACCTCATTCTGATAAGGGGAGGAAGGAGGGAAGGGGTGCTGGTGAGCATGGGGGACTAGGCTCTGCACTTAACTTTTGTTGGCTGGGGTGGTGGGGTGGGGCTAGTGGTTTCCCTGGTATTTGGCTGGAGTGGGCCAGTTTTTGTCTGCAAGTTTCCTGTGTTGCTGGGTTTTCTCTTTGCTGGTCCTTCTGGTAGCAAGAATAGGCTTTTCTTGGGGCTATTTTAGTATGCACCCTTGGTGTTCCTGAACTACAAGATTTTCCTTGAAGAAAAAGTGATCCATGGAGCGTGGTATATTGAACACATTTAATTTGACTTTAAAGCTTCGTTGTTCCCAAGAATCACCTGAAATATTTTTAAAGAGAGGTGCTTCCTGGATCTGGTCTCTTGAACTAAACCAAGTGAAACTCATCTGGAAGTTCATTGGGATTGATTGATTGATATAAATATTAGTCCTTTCACTGTCAGTATTTTTCACAGTAGAGATTTGCTGAGAGTCATAAAGTACTAGCTGGGTTTTTTTTCAATATTGGGGATTGAACCCAGAGCCCTACACATGCTAGCCAAGCTCTCTGTCACTGAGCTACATTCCCAGCTCTGCATGCTAGGTTTTGGCAGCTGTTAAGCCTCTGTCTACTTCAACACATTATGGATAGGCATAGTTAATGGGACATTGAACCTTGGAAAGTGGAAACTCTAGCACCCTATGACTAGTTGGAAAAAAACCCTTAGTGCCTTTGAAGCATTTGCATGAAACAGGTATCTGATGCTCAAATCATTGTTTAATGTGGCTGAAGATTAACCTTGATTTAAAGGCTTATCAGATTGGCCACAGGTGACATTTCATCAGTTTCTGCATATGAGGGAACTTCATCAAAATAAATATCAGCATAATAATTTCACTAACAGTTGTCAATGAAGGATATGTTGTTGATAGAACTGAGACATTCCTGTTAGAGGCAATAGCTGTCTGAGTAATTTGTCAGGTTTTCATCTTTTAGGACCTGAGAAGTGGCTCCCAGGCTGCATCAGACAATACCCATTGCCTTGTGGGACTTCACAGTACTGTAGTTTCATCTCTTACACTGCTATTTATTGTGAAAAACTGGAATAATTTCTTGGAGATGGGAATTTGTATTTTGAATATTGCTAATGACTATTTCTTAGCAAGCAAAAACAAGCAACAAAACCACCAATGTTCAAGTCTATGCATTTACAGGATATCCTGAGAGTAGTAAGGCTAGCATTGGTGTCTTCCTGACATAGGAAATGGATAAAACAGGTGCTGTCCTCCTTTAACAGACACACATTGGAATATGTGGATCTTTCCTTGTCTGTTTATGTACTCCTCAGGTTTCCTGGATGATGCAGGATCTGAGAAACAGACTGAGAGCACTACCACATGAGCAGCTGGCAGCTTAGAAAGCAGGTACTTAAAGTCCCAACACCATAAATCTGGGCTCCCATCTGTTCCCTTTGAAACAAAACAATTAAAGCTTGTTTTGATGAGTCAATGACATGTATGATTCAACTGTCACGTTATGAGAGTTTAAAGAAAAATGAGTAGTGGCTTCCTGACAGACAGTTTATTTTTTCATAAGACTCTTAGCAAGATCCGAAAATTCTCACATCAGCAAAGTGACAGAGATCCACCTATTAGTATCTGAATAATAAGTAATAAATTTTTAAAAGTCTTTAAAATGGCCATGAGGTAGAGGGAAACAACCCTGCTTTTAATAAAATTTTGTATACTTTAAGACAATGATCAACATCTTGATAGGGAAGAATTAGAAAATCAGCATCTTTAGCCTAAAAGGGTAACTGCCTTAGAAGTACGGTAATTAGAGATTTATTCAGTAACAAACTTCAAAGAAGCAATACTTATGTTTTTCCTGCCTGTCTCCGTAAGGATCATTTCTGATTTGCCAAGCACTGCTTCACTGCAAGAAGTAGACTGCTCCTAATTTCTAATATATTCACATACAAGTTGGAGAAATCACACTTAGGTCTTCCTCTGAACAGTTGCTTTGTTGATCTCCAGAGGTCCCACTATCTGGAAATGCTTAGTCTGCTCTTCCTTTGGCTCCAAGGGATCTGCATCTCTCCTTTTCCGCTCCATACAACCCTGGGAGGAGCGAGAGGAGTAGTCCCTTTTTCTGCACATGACAATCTTACATTGCAGGTAGACTACATCATAGCTATCAAGAACACTGAAGACATTGAACTTGAACTGGGCCACATTCTTCTGTGTAGACTGGAGGTTGACATAGGTATTGTCTTTGATACACCTGATAGGGGAAACAAATCCAGGTCAAAAAGATTAACCTAAGTTATGAAGTGAATTTACTCTAACCCAAGTAGCCAGGGTTGGCCCCAGATTTCTGAATTCCAAACAGAGCTCTTCCTGCTATACAATCTTTCTTTTATAAAGAAACTATTACCTCTCCTATTCCTGCGTCTACTATGTGCTCACAGGTGGGGATTTTTGGAGCTGGCAAGATCTAAAGCATGTACTACTGAGATTAAGGGTTTGTGGTACTAAATTAGTTGACTAATTGGAATTAGTATAGTCTGGGTGTGGATAATGGGAAGACCTACTTTGGGTATGGGTGGAACCACCCAAAAGGCTTGTAGCCTGGATTGGATAAAGGGAAAAAGAGACTTGTTTCACTGCTTGCCATAGGGCAGAGCCAACCAAGCCCTTTGGAGTTCACATCTTGCTACAGATTGCCCCAGATATTGGATATGGAACTATAGGATTTAATGTTTGCTCTGCTGGATTTTGGGCTTGCTTCGGTCCCACCCCTTTGTATCCTTCTCTTTCTAACTTTTGGAATGGGAATGTTTAAACTGTGCCATTGTATGTTGAAACTGTTTAACTTTGTTTTCATTTGTGGAGGGGCTTTGCAGCTAAGAGTTTGCCTTAATCTTATAGGAGACTTTGGACTTGGACTTTTCATCAATGCTGAAACTGTTAAGACTTTGGCAACTCTTGGAGATGGACTAAATGCCTTTTGCATAAAGGGATACATATGAGTCTTTTGGAGGCCAGGGGAAATGTTATGGCTTATATCTAGGTGTCCCGCTAAAGTCTCATACACTTATAGGTGGGGAATTAAGGATGTGTGATAACTAAATGAGTTTTAGCATAGTTCTGGGTATGGATAATGAAAGTCTCAACCTGGGCATGGGTGGCACCAGCGAATAGGCTTATAGCCTGGATGGAGTATAAAGGGATGGAGGAAAGGCAGGTGGCTTTGGTTTACTGATTTCTACCTTCTGCCTTGCATGCCTTGAATTGTTTCTCTGCCATGTCTTTCTGCCTGTCACCCCACCTTGGAGCCAGCTGACTATAAACTGAAACCCTTACACACTGTGAGCCTGAATAAATCTTTCTTTTGTTAACTTGTTGGTGTTGGGTATTTTGTCCCTGCAACAAAAAAGTTACTAAAACAATCAGTAACCAACAGGCTCAGAAAGCATAAAATCAGAAATAATAAGGGTGACCCAAAGAACACTATTAATTCACTGGATCTAATTGAAATGTATAAGACTCCATCCAATGACAGCAGAATACACATTCTTCTCAAGCCCATATGGGACATCACCAAGATAGAACCCACTTTGGGCCATATGAGATACCTTAATAAATGTAAGAGAATAGAAGTCACACAAAATACATTCTCAGGTAACTATTGGATTAAACTAGAAATCAAGATCAGAAATATTGTTGGAAAATTCACAAATATTTAAAAAGGAAACAACATACTTTTCAGGAACCCATGGGTTGGGGAGAGGGAAAATGGTGAAGTAAAGGCTGGCAGAGGTTCTTCCAGAGGTAAATGGATTTTGAGAGCACTAACTTCATCACTGAGTGAACCCATTGAGGAGTTTTAGCTGTATGTGCTATCAGGAGGTGCAGCCTATTCAGAAAAAGGAGGCCATAAAGTGGGACCTCGGGGACTGTATGTGGCAGGTTAGTGCTACTTCTGCGCACCTTTCATGTCATGGCTCACACCACCTGTGGCAAGTGCCATCTTGCTCCTCCCCTCGCCTTAGAAATAGTCACAACAGGGCCTCAGAAGAGCTTTACACTGTTGTCAGCATGCTCTCAACATTCTAAAGCTGCCCCAGAGTAAGGACTCACAAGGGATTCTACTGCAATAGCTAAGAGCTCAGCTTGGGAAATTCCACCAGCCCTTCAATGTCAAATGCTCTAAAGACTTGCACTGTGAATGGGAAGTCTACTAAAGTTCTCCCACTAGAAAGGAAGGGAGGCATGGGCACCAAAAGTGAAGCAGGGCAGCAGACTCCTAGGCAGCAAGGACCCTGTCCAGGACTTACAGGGGAATCAAGGGAGGTATCTAACGGATAACTATATCCCTGACTGGGCTCAGAGGGCTGAGGAGGGGCCTCACTCAGTCTCTCGGGCATGGCAAAAACTTACACAACATTCCGATGCAGAACTAACTGGTTCAGAAGATACAGGTTCCCTAACAGAATGCCATGTGCTTATAGCAGTCAATCAGAGAGGACCTTCTCTCTTTCCTTACCCTTGCCGGATCAAATCGTGTACGATGGTGGTAAAATCACTGGGATTCGGAGAAGCCACACAGGTATCCACGAAGAGCCACACATTGGGATTGGGGCTGTGGAGGGTGGCCTGGAGGAATACCTCTTCCTTCTGGCTGCCATAGTGTGACATGTGCCCATGATGCCAGGATGCAGGTGACTGATGAAATGTAAAGGACACATCGTAGCTGGCACCCTCTATCTGGGGGTCATCAGCCTCCTGAACGACTTCCACTGCAGACGGGCTGTCCACTGTGCAGGTGAACTTCACCTGGGGTATCTTGTGACGCAAAATGACTCTGTCATGGTGGCCCCATCTGTGCCCTCTGATGGAGTTGGAGTAGCTGAGGGAGCCACTGTGTTTCTGTGAGGGAGAGAGGACAGTTGGTGGCCAGTACTTCTGGCTCCTTAAGAAGCACCTGATTTCTAGAGAAGAGATTTTTCCTTTCTACTGCTGCCCAGCACCAGCTAGTTCAAATGCTGAAGAGTAGGAGCCCCTGCCAGACCTCTGTGGTGCTTAATTCCATGAAAGGGTGATATGATGTGTGGGAGCTTGCAGGAAGCCCCCTCCCAATCGATGGGGGTTCTTCCTTCCCTGTTGTGAAAGCCAAGTTGTGCAGCTATGAGCTGAGCGGCAGGCTAGGTGGTGACTCTGCCTGAAGCTTTGTCTCCTACCTTTCCCCATGTATCCCATTATTTTAGCCACCCGCTCTGTGGCTCTCATCTCCTCTTGCCATTGACTCCAGGCTAGGTGTAGCTCCAGCTGAGTTGCGGGCCTTTCCCTGCTGTCCTTGGGTCCCAGTCTTGCTCCTGCAGTGCCAACATAACTTTCAGGGGCTGAGGAGGAGCCAGAGACTGATGGGCAGTGGCCACTACCTATCCTTGCCTCCTTCCTGTGCCCGGTATGGGCACTGAAAGGCTCCTCAGTTTACCCAAAGTCCTTTGCTCAAGGAAGCTGCAGCTTTTGTGACTCAGATCCTGTGACTTTCTGCCTCACAGCTCCCCAAGGACTGCCCCATCTGTCAGATAGGCCTGAGTTTCCCTAGCTTTTCCCTGCTATGGCCTTCAGAATGCTATACCACCTGTCCTCACTCTGGTCCCCAGTATGGAATTTTAACTCAACAAATTGTTTGTGTACTGTATGTATATTTGTGCTTTATCTGTAAAGAAAGATGTTATTGTTTTGGCCCCAAAGAATGAGTATATATATCTCTTCCTCCACAGGGATAACATTGCCCTGCTTGAGAATGCACAGTTTAGAATAAATGCCAAACTTCATGGCCATTTGACCCACTCACTTCCATTCTGACACTGAACTGGCTGCCACCCCCCGTCTCTTTCTCAAACCCTCCAGCTTTCTGCTACCCAGGATCCTGCACTAGCCCAGGCCCTGCCTGGCGTGTTCCTCCTGCCCCTTCCTTAACTGCTTCAACCCATCATTCAGTAGTGGTTCCTCTAGCTTCCCTTCCACCTTCCTGTTTTGCTATCTTTATTTTCTTCACCATAAAAAAAGACTCTCATTTGTGTGTTTGTCCAGTACATGTCTCCCTTTACTTGAAAATAAGAGCCACGGGGGCAAGGATTTGTGTACTCAGGACCTAGGAGGTTGCTCACTTGCTGACTCTCAAATCAAACTCAGGACCTTCGCAGGACAGTGTTTCCTTAGAGTGGCGTGGGACTGGCCAACACTCCACCTGGTTACTGACTCTGCTGTTGTCTGACCCCAGCACTGAGGCCAGCACATAGGACATTCTGGGGCAGGTGGGCCAGACAGGTCAGAAAGGACATTTATAGAGCCCCCTGAGGCCCAGAAGCTTCTGGGAGCCACCTTTCTCCCAGATACTGGGGACCGCCAGTATGTCTTTTGGGGCACAATCCTCTGAGGTAAAGAGTAGGATTTTCAGAGCAAAAAGGTTAAGAATGATTATGATGTTACACATCAAGTAAAAGATAAAACATGAAGTATGGCATTAGAGGGATTATTTGGCATCATGTACTGTTTGAATGAATCTGACTAGCAAAAGTAGGCTTTTTGCATGTGTCTAAACAGGGATGCAGAAGAATAATAGTATGAAGATCTTGCTTTGGGACATCTTACATTGTTAAATATACTGCGACAAAGGATATCATATTTGTTTACTCTCACTATATCTTTGATAAATTCATTCCCTTAATTTGAATGCCATTGTTTTATGAAATAAGCATGTGGTCAAGGAAAAATGAATATATATTAAATAGACTCACTATTCACAAGTGTTCTATTTATACTTTCTAGACTGTGGAATATAGCTACTTGGATAGAAACATAACAGTTAGACAGACAGACACTTTATCCTTTTCCATCCCTAGTGCCAAAGCTTGAACATGGTAGGTGTGCCCTAATGCTCAATCAAGAAACATATTGTAAAAGATAGTTTGGAACTGAGAGATTATCCATCCATCCATCCATCCATCCCTCAAAACACATCAGCACTCAACACTTGAGCACATCCCAAGTTCAGTGTGTGTCCTAAATAACTCATTGGAAGGAAAGTTCCAGACAAACTAGTGAGCTGCTCCAGGTCATACCAAATTCAGAAATTAAGCCATGCTTTGTGTTTTTTCTCTGTCTTACACAGCCCCTGCCTCCTACCCGGATCTTGGGGATTGAACCCAAGGCCTTCACCATGAACTATATCCCCAACCTATTTTAAATTAAAAAAAAATTTATGACAGGGTCTTTCAAGATCACTAAATTGTCCCCAGACCGGGCATAAATTTGTTTCAGCCTCACAGAGTGCTGGGATTACAGGCATGTGACATGACACTTGACTACACAGGTTTTTGACAAGTGGTTGAATTTTCCAAGTCCTCTTGGGCCTCCATTCATAGAAGGTGCCACCTCCTTGTCAGTTTCTTACCTGCCAGACAGTGCCACAGTGGCCATAGGCAATGTTGAAGATCAAGTAACGCCCAGTGACTTGGGGGCGACACAGCTTGTCATTTAGGTGGACATTCCAAGAGGAATACCCCAGTCTTCGGAGGTAGCCTCGGTCAACAACTGCTTGGAAGAGGTGGGGCATGCAGAAGAGCTGGGCTGCGGGAGAGGGAGAACTGTCACAAGGAGAACTTGCACTGTGCTTACAGGCCAAAGGTTGGGTGTGTGTTTATTTTCTAAAAGTCCCAAGGACACTGCTCTGGGCTGGGGCTGGCTCAGCTCTCTTAACCCTCTGCCCTTGACTTTCATTGATTTTATTTCCATCCTCTATCTTCAAAAAGGCTGTGAGGCCATCCATAATACATCCATAACACATCCATAACACATCCATGGCACATGTTCTGTGGACCATGAGCCAGAGCCTATGTAAGGTTTAAAGGACAGCTCATTTCCCATGTTGAGTCCATCTGGGCCTCTGCATGGAGGAAAGCTGGAGACTGAGTGGAGACATAGAGGGAAGGAGCTTGGATGCAAAGGGTGCTACTTCCCCAACCTCCTAAAGTCTAGCACACAGATGGAAATGAGAGATCTCAGTGGAAACATAGGGGCCAATCCCCCTTAAAGCCGATTCCTTCTTCCCCACTTGGCTGCTCTCTTAGTTCTCCTTTTCTGCAGCCTCAGATCAAGGAAGGGAGGATGACTTTACCATTGTCCTTGGGCACAACGGAGTCAGCAGGACCTGGCAATGGGAGAGGATGAGAACAAATGTCAACAGTGCTGAAACACTAGAAGAGGAAACTATGACTGGAAGTAGATGAAAAACAGGTGATTGGCTCACTTGACTTAGCTGTTAAAGCTAAAGAATCAGGTTATGCTGAGGAAAGGGGGGCCCAGAGGTTTCTGGTGGAGCTGGATTCTGGCACATGTGAAGCAGTGTTGAGGATACACACTTCCTCAAACCCAAGATTTGTTGGAACAAAAAAAATCATAAACACAGAGTTTCAAAGTTTATAGACACTGTCACATGGATGAACTCTGGCTGGTGCCCTTTTCTACACATGTGGTACCCTTGGGATCTCCGGCTGGGCAAGAATGAGTCTACAACCTTCAAGGGCTCCTCCAGCTCAGAAGCAAGATAGGACAGTCTCCCAGGACAAAGTCTCAGCCTACGAAGCATGGCTGGATAGATTCATTCCACCCCTTTAAATCTCCTGGGTCCCAGTCTCTTGGTTCTTTGAATACTGTACTACATGGAAGGATGCTCTGTTGATGGATAATCAAAGAAAGGAAAACAGATTGTCATTGGCAGTGGATTCTCTGACAGCACCAGGACTGGCTTGGACTCAGAAGAGACACCACAAAAACAAGGCCCTTGAAGGTTGACTCCAGCAACAGACTCAAACCACTTGGCTCTGCATGATTAATGTTTGTCTCCAGGGAACTCTGACAGCTTTTCCATTTGGATTCCAGGTCTAATCAAAACAGAGGTAGCATCTACATAAAGGTAAAAGCAAGACCAACAATTGCTTTGATCACCTGTAAAAAACTAAAAATGGAACAGGCAAGGTGAGCTCAGACTTGTGTGAGTCTCAGAATTTCCTAACTCCTTGAGATTTACACAGGTCAATTCTGGGCAAACTTAGGACACATACAAGGAAATAGTACAGCCCACCTGTGCAAGTCAGAATGCCAAGAAGTTGGATGACAATAAAATGTATTCCAGGAAAGGTACAGGCCGATCTTGGATGCACAGGACATGA